GTGGGACATGGGTTGCTGACATGTTTCACCGTATCAACACTTGGTTTGGATGGTGTTGAGGCCAACATTTGGTTTGGATGTGTTGGTTACATCATGGATTATACAGTGGTGTGACTTTGTTTTGGATATGGAATATGTATACATATGGTATGGATTGTATACATTGGTTATGGATTATTTTATTATCATAAAATATGTATACATTGGCATGGACGTGTATACATTATATTTTGGGTTGGTCTATATTTAGCTTGAAAATGACTTGTTGGTCTGGATAAATACTGTGGATAAATATTTGTTTAATGATATTTTATTATGATGTACTATGATTGGTTTTATATGTGCTAACCCTTATATTTCCATGATGTGGACTGTGATGATCTCACTATGTGGGGGAGCAGATCAGGTATGAGGCTTTGGGATAACAAGGAGTCTTTTGGATAGCTGCTTTGAGAAGTGGCTAGGTTTAGAGCTTGACCAGCACCTAGGGTGTCTTATTTTGATGTTTTCATGACATTGTAATTATATTATCTTTTTGGATTACTGTATAACTTTACTAAGGATGATGACTCTGCTATAGAAGATTATATTATATATTTTGGAAACAATTTATATGTTATTGTATAATTACACTCTAGCGTAGCTGGCTTTTGTTTTATTTTCTTTATTTTATATTATTTTATTTTGGTTGGTTATTAATGTGACGGCCTAGGGTGGGTCGTTACAATAAATATTATGTCAATATAATAAAATGTGTCACTATATAACAATTTTCTTATAATATGAAAATAAACATATCCTTTTCAACTAACATGATTAGCATAGTTCATTAGACATTTAAGATCTAATAAAATGGAATAATAATCTTATAAATGATTGACGAGATGAATTACCAAAAAAAAAATACCCTAAAAGAGATATGTAGGTGTTAATTGTGAATGTTTCTAAAAATACTTTTAATATCTTAATAATTCTTCAATAAAAAATATTAAAAAAATACAATACTCAAATAATTAAAAGCATTTTGTTTTCGTCCAAGATCTTTAAAAAACTCATAGCCGTGTAATAGGAAATAATAAGGAGCAGGAACTTCATCATTCATATTTAGTAACAATTTCGTATAGTATTCTTGGAGAGAAGTAAAAGCAGCGCATACGGTTAAATTAATCAAACACAAGTTATGGCAAATCTCTTATATCTTAATTGTAATAGGAGTAATGAACATATACTACTAAGTCCAAAGTATAGCAGATACCATAATAGCTCCAAAATGGAAGAACTTTATTTTTCTTTTGTGAAGCTGTAATAAAGTTCACAAACAGCAAGGAGAAAGAAAGCAAATCAATCAACGAAGGAAAAGTAAAAAATTCTTTTACATTACGTGATAGACAGGCGCTTGCAAGTTGTTTGTATTTTGCTGGGTAACCTATATAAATCACAAATTCACAATGTAAAAAACAGATTGATGTTTAAACACAACTTACTCGCCATTTTCTTTTTCACATTTTTGTTTGGGAAAAAAGTAAAGACCTAGAGTATTTAAAAGAAAACCATGTAAATATATATAGTGGTATATGAAAGGGTAAATATTATTTATGAAAAATAATACAGTGAAAGTGCGTGTTTATGTATTTTTTATTTTTATTTTAATTAATAGAAAATGATGCAAAAAATGGTGATGTAAAGAAAACTATAGAAAAGTCGTCCTTTAGAATGTAGCGCTATTATAAACCATGAACTTCCAATATAATTATTTTGCGGATTCAGCCAAAATATTAACATGATAAAACGTTAACCCATGCAGTCATTTCCAACTATTCAGACTAGAATGCATATGGTGTTAAAAGCCTTGGACCAGTAGTTTCCAATTCTCATCATATAGTTGCAGAGTTGGCATGCATGAAATCTTACTCTGTTAATGCTATCAATTATGGGGCAAATATATATTCCTACTTTTTTTTTAGAAGAAATATATAAAGAGGTGCTAATAGGAAATAATTGTTAGTCCAAGGCTTGAAGGGAATGATTGTTAGAATAGAATTATCTCTTCCCGTGATTTCAACTTTGTCAGTCCCATAAATTATTACATTATTTATGACTTATGAATTTATGGAGTGTAAAACTTGTATGAGTAAATATTTGCGGCTGATTTGTTAATAACCTAAAAATGAAGGTGTATTTAAAGTATTTTCTTCCCATTAATATTGAAAATTAAAACTAGGGATGATCACAAATTTGAGACTCGATCCAAAATCGAAAAAATTGAAAGAAAAAAAAAAGATAAATAAGTGAACTTAAGTGAATTATTGATTTAAGTGAATTAAAAAGACAATTTAAAATAATTAATTTTAATTAAGTTTGATTCGAATTTTTAGATTCATTGATATTTAAATTCAATCGTACAAACAAAATGAAGACCAAAATATTTATCATTGACTTAAAAGCTAAACTTGTTTTAGCTTATCTTTAATCCTTATTATTAATGTATAAAAAACTCTAATTAAATGTGTAATTTGTAACTTCATTTTTTTATATCATGTACCTAAAAAAATTTATTATAATATTTAAATTATTTGAAACTTGAATAATTTTATTCATTTTGAGTTTAAACAAGTTAAATAATATTCAAATAATTGAATGTATAAAAAAATACAAGAATTAAAAAAAAAATTGGATAAAATTTTATTTGGGTCAATTAAATGATTCAAAGTCTAATACATCTTTATCCATTGAAAATTATATCTTAAAATCAAAATTTATTTAAACTAAAACCTACCTAAACCGATAAATTATTTAGTCAAATTCGAATTTAAATGATGCAACATATAAATTATATTGATTTGGACTATATTGATCCAAAAGTGACTGTTGATCTTGAAACCATCCAAATACCAAATTGTTAAGCAGTTGGGCCGGTCACCGCACTATTTCTACAGCTAAAGGACTGGGCCCATTCGACCAGCCGACTCAATCTCCCTTACAATTATAACAAGGGGAATCAAAAATATTTACTCCATAGATGAATTTTAATAACCTATTAATTATTCAATATATTCCTTTTAACAATTTTTACTATTTAAAAATTTCACTAATTAATGGAGTGCAACAAATAAAGATTTAACATACATGAATTCAACTAATAAAAATAATTAAAAATGCATCATCAGAATTTTCTTTATTTTCTGATATACACTAAACATATATAAATTTGAGACATTCAAAAACTTGCCTTCCAATCGTTTTATTTTTTATTTTTTATTGGTACATCTGAAGATTCATTATTTTATTGTTGACTACAAGTAAAAATTTCTTTGCCCTTGCATGGTTGGAAAGAAGCAAAAAAGTTTAAGCTGTAGGAACAAGAATAACTGTATAAAGAATGCAACGAGAGAAAGACATTTGGGATGGAGTATGTATGTATATTCATGGGCATTTAGGATTGTTCCCGGGCCCACCATAGAAGAAGAAGGTCCCCCAATCGTTGCTGTTGTCCATCTTGATGTTATAGCAGTTTGAGTTGGGGGCCAAGGTTGAGACGTCCTGCGCTTGAATCAGCTTGTTATTGCTGTCTACGAGCTGAAGGTTCCGGAAGTAGCTTGCTTTTCCGAAACCTTCCTCTGCGAAGTGTCCAGACCCCATTTGGGTAAACGTGTGTTGCCCATTGGTTCTTGTGTTCACAACCTCTCCTCCCCACTCCACTGCCGTCGCGTGATCCGCTAAGTTTGTGAATAGCTCTTTGGGCCAATACCCTATCAATGTGTTCGCGCCAAAACTCATCCACCAGTTCCCTTCTTTTGGATCCTACAACAATTTTAATATAATACTTTTACACAAGTCACCCTATATAATCATTTCTCTTTACGTAACGGTGGAACAAATACTTACCTTCCAAACCAGGATGCTAATGTCGTATTGCTTGCCAGCATAAGAAGAGAGAGGAGAAATGGCAGCTCCAATGGATATCCTAGCATCCTTTTGAACAAAACCAGCACAAAGAAGGTTGTAGCATCCGGTTGAACGATACGTGTCTCTCTGCATTGCCAACAAAAAAAACTCCACGTGTTTAAATTAATTATAATCATATTGCACCACGGCCCAGCCAAGAAAATAAATTTGAGGAAAAATAAGAGCGAGGAATATATATTTATGAGAAGAAACAAGTGCTAACCGTCCAATAACTGAACAATCTGGGTCTGTTGTCACCATAGAGCTTCGGACTGACCTGACTAGTGGAATGATCAAAGCTTCAGAGATTATTTCATAAAATTAGTATTTCTGTTCCGACACGCACATAATGTGCCGTGTATTACATGCATTCTAAACTCTAAACGTGAATGAATTGTAAACTCACCAACGTGTGCGATAAACTTTCATCTAACATTAAACAAAGAATAACATGTTTTTTCGTCGACTTGTGTTATTATATATATATATATATCATGATTATGTAATTGATAGAGGGGAGTGAAGAGTGTAGAAATTGAAATTGGAAGGAGTACCTGCCATCCAGCTTCGATGCTATTAAGATCAGGACCTTCGAAGGCTCCTGAAAGGACCCAAATTTGTGATAGACTAAACTCGCCCCTCACCTGAATTGATGGATCCCATACATTTATTGTTGCCTTTGCCCCGAATATGTTTTGCGATGATTCAGTGTATGCGACCGCATACTGCATACCACAAATGTATAATCAATCAAAAGATATCCTTTCATTAAAAGCAGAAGTTACTAATAATTCTAATGTCAAGACCCTTTATTTTTTAATCATAATAGAGGTTGGAGAATTATAGTATGTATGAGAAAGACGACTTAATTAAGTTGCCGTACAAACAAAGCAATCTTGATAGCTTTTGGTTTTGAAATGAAGTATTATACAATATTTAATAGGATTCGGTGTTGTGAAACAGCTAGCAATATTTGCTAGATCTATATGTGAAAATTACATTTTTTGTGAAGTAAAAAATTATACCATTTTGATCTTTGCACACACGATTTATCATTGCCTCTCAAAGTATCTTCATATTGAAAACCACGTTAAGAAAAGGATATAATTAAAACAATCATATGAACAGTAGAGTTGGAATAGAATGTAGAAGCTCTTAAATTCGAATATGGATCGTGTTTGTAATTAATATGGTATATTAGTACAGTAGTTGACGCACCTCATGGCCATTGTTGCCGAGAATATCTAGGGCATCATTGCGGCGAGAGAGGGAAACTCGTGAGCGTTTTTTGCCAAAGTGATACAAAGACTTTGCTCTCAACACGTCTTGCACTGTGGTTCGGCGTATGGGAACCGTTCCCTTCGGACACCGTGTACCATTTAGGTGCCACATTTGCGATATTCCTTCACCTTCCATATCACTAGTATCTCTCTCCACCTTCATCCCTCCAGGCATCTCCGTTGGCATTTTCTATTACATATCCATCAAATAATGTCAAACATTAATAAAATTTAATTATACGTACAACATAGAAGAACATGAGTAAAGTGCAAGGAAAGCAAAGAGGTACACGTATACCTGGATCTTGTGATTCTTTAAAAGGGGGTGATCAAAAGCCAGTTGTTTTCTTTCGTCAACACAATCAATAAGATCTCCATCTGGACTCTGCAATACGGTCCAACACCAAAAGAGATAATAAAGAAGCGGAAACCAACATTTATATGCCCATTAAAATCTCAACCACTGATCGACGTACACAAAAAACTATATAATGTTAATATTACCTCTATGGTGAGCACAGGAGGCTTATTGATCTTCTCCAAGTGCCTTTTAATCCTTTCAAGTCTCAGGCTACTGGTGTGCCTATACCTTGTGTCATTTAGCGCACCTGATTCAACCACAGCCCTTTGTAGAAGGATGGCAACAAAGAAAGCCATAAGGAGAAGATGATGGTCTTCAAGAGGCCTTCTCATTCTCCCAATAATACCCATATTCTTTCAGCGCCAACAAAATGGGCAAAACATGCAAAAACATGAGTTAGGAAGCCATAACTAGCAAAGCAAATCGCACCAACAAAATCTGACTTTCATGGTTATTTCCATGCCCCAACACTAAAGCAAGAAAAGAAAGCTGCAAAAGGACTTGTTAAGAAAAAGGAAGGAAGGAATAAGCCTCCCCCTAAACCGCCTCTCTATTTAATTATATTAATGGCGAAGAGGGGAGTGGTTGAGACCAATCAATTAAGGTGCTGAAGTTCAGATACCCTTCAATTTTGAACCTTCAGCGTCATGATCGTGAATTCGTGATTGCCTCCATTTGATTATGCACTGATGGTGCATGATGATGCACCACTCGTGCAGTTTGAAGATTTGGGGTGCTGCTTTTGGATTGCACAAAAAACCTTGAACCAAGCTAGGAGAGAATTTGTTGTGAAGGTATGGAGAAGGGTAACTTGACTCGGTTAGATTTCAAAGTTGAAACTTAATGAGAGCATGCGTTTCAAAAACTCTCAGACCTACCCAACTGAAACTATCTGCCACCATACACTTTGACATTAATATTTCCCTTGAAGCACACCTTCCCTCGCTAGCTATAGCTTGCTTTCCTTCACAGTCTCTCCATTCCTTTGCTTAACCTTTTTTTAAACTGACAAATTAAAAATACCACTCATTTGGTATAACTTTTGAGGTAGGTAGGTGTTTGGGGCTAAACGATCACTCTATTATTGGAAGTTTATTTTGTCTTAATCTAAAATTTTAAAGTGCCATTTATTTGAACTTTAACTCACCATATAAAAAATTAAAATATGTAAGAAAATGAAGTCAACTAGATGTTAAATATAATATATCAATATTAAATTATGTAGAGTTAAAATGTAAAATAAAAAACATGATTTACAATATATTTTAAATTAGATAATATATAAGATATTATATTACATAAAATATTGTCGATCAAATAAATTTTTACTATCAATATACAATTTTTAAAAAAATATATATAAATTTTTAAAAGAATGTAAAATATTAAATTGAGTTAAAATGACTAGAAAATATGTATTTTGCTATCAAATAAAATCATAATTAACCATTAATTTCTTTGTAAATTTTCAGTGAAATATTTTATTTTTAACACAAATCTGCATAAAAAAAATATAAAATACAAGAAAATTTGTACGGTAAGATATTGATCCAGGAGTACTCACGGTTTTGCTTTTGGATTTTAATTAAAAGGTCTCTCAACCAATGGAGATAATTGTGTATGTATATAAATTCATATTCATCCTTTTGTTTGAACTATATATGATTTTACTTGCATCCAAACAATCTTCCCCTCAAACAAAGGACCATGGTTCTAGGGGTGTTCATGGATCGGTTTTTTCAAAAAACCGATCCAAACCGAACCGAACCGTTTTATAAAAGTGGATCGGTTAACCGATCCATTTTTTATAAAGTGGATCGGTTTGGTTTTCTTAAAATATGGATCGTTTTTTTTTAAAATTGGATCGGTTCGGTGCGGTGCAGTTATCCATTTTTTTACTCATATATGGATCGGTTTTTTTAGAAAACCAAACCGAACCGAACCGATCCACTTTATAAAAATGGATCGGATAACTGAACCGGTTTTATAAAGTGGTTCGGTTCGGATTTTTTTTCAAAATAGATCAGATTTTTTAATATAGATCGGATCGGTTATGAATCGGTTCGAATAAATTTGGATTTTTTGCACACCCCTACATGGTTCCACCCCTTTAATTTCTAAAGGATGTTTGAACAATTTAGGATTTTGCTTCCATCCGAAACATCTTCTCCTCAAACAAAGGACTATGGTTACATCCCTTCAATGTAAGATTTTGTTTGCATCCAAACAATCTTTCCCTCAAACAAAGGACCATGGTTAGTCAGGTCTCCTAACAACTTACCAACTCTATATTGATAAGATATTGTCTACTTTGAATCCAATCCTTACAGTTTTACTTTTAAATATCACCTAAAAAGCTTTTCAATCAATAAAAATAATTATTTGTATATAAATCTATGGCCTTCCTTTTATTTCAACCATGTGAGACTCTTGCAGCGGAGTTCTTGTGAATGGTATTATAAGTAGAAAAGTAATAATAAAAATAATAAGTAAAAACAGTGTATTTTCATAAATATGTAGTACCTTGAATATGTAAGCTCCTCTCCTATCGGTGGCGAGAGCGGTACGTGCAGAAACACTCAACACTTCGTCTGGGAGGATTATATTGCTTAGTTCATGAAACTAACTTGTTTTACTTGTGCATTGCACCCCTTTTATACAGTGGATTACTCTCGAATATCTACCATAATTTGTGATTCTCTTATTTCTATATTTTGACCTCTTTTTATGTTTTGATATCCGAATATTAATTTGCCTTCACTCTCCATAATCAGGTAATAAATCCAAAATAATAAATGACATAAAAAAGTAAATTACTTAATTCAAGAATTGATAATCATAATCTTTCTTATGATTTGCTATAAGAGCTTTCCTTATTCTTTAGAAAAATTTTCTTACTTTTCCTTATTCTTTATTATTACACATTTACATTTAGATGACACATCTCATATTCAGAGAGATTTGGAAGACACATATCAATTATCGAAAGATTCGAATATAAAGGTATTGATATATGATGTTTCGTAAATATTAGATTTGGATACAAATAATAATTATTTTTCATATAGATAGACACATCAATTATTGAAAGATTTGAATATAAGTTATTAATATAACTTTTATTAAGTATTATATTATTCAATAACTTTATACTAAATGTAAATTTTATAAATTCAACTGTTAGATTAGAAATTCATATCAATTTATATGTTTATATCAAATTTTGTTAAAATTGAACAATAATTTAAAGGTAATCAAAATTTTCATATTTTATTATATTTTGAAATGTATATATTACATCAATTTTGTTTTAAAATAATGAAATATCAAATCATCTTTCATTAATAAATTTTTATATATATATATGATCTAAGAGTACAAAAACTTTCAATCTAACAGTGATTTATAAAATTCACATTTAATATAAAGTTATTAAATGATGTAATATTTAATAAAAGTTACACCAATATCATTTGAACTCTATATGATGTTTTGTAAATATTGAACTTTGATATAAATCATAATTATTTTTCATATTTACTGTCATTAATGATACAATAAATGATATAATAAATGAAATAAACAACTGTATTATAAAATAATAAATTTTATAAGTAATAAACTAGTATTTTAACATGTGTAACGCATAAAAAAAATATTTATTTTATATATAACTAAAATTAATAATAAGAAATTATAAATATAGATAAATATGTTTGAATATATAAATCATGTTTAAAATTTGTATATATAAATCTTTTCAAATATATAAATTATATTTTAAATTTATGATAAGTAATTTATATTAAAACAAAATATTATTTTATTTATTAATAATTTATTTTGAATATTAAAATTTAATTTATAAATAATTATAAATAATCATGAAAAATAAAAATAAAATTATATAAGAAGTTATTAATTATATAATTTAATTTATTATAGATATTTATGTTTAATATATAGAAATTAATTATTATTATTAATTTTATTATTATTAATTATTTTTTAAATTATTATTTTTAATGTTTTTATTACTATTGTTATAATAATAATAATAATAATAATCATAAGA